CCAGTACTCCTGACATTCGCCAGTTATCTGCTTTGATATTTTATAGGCGGTCCTCCATTGTCCGTTCAGTACGGTCTTCACCGTTTCTCGTTTATGCTTTCGCATTCCACTTTGCAGTACATCGCGGTTCCGTTTTAATTTCTCATTCTCAGTTGTCGGAGGGGATTTCTGTTTTATTTTCCGCCTCTTCCGATCAACCTTGTACGGAAATGACTTCTCTGCGTATTTATTTAGGCGTTCAAGCCCTTGTTCATTGCTCAGATCACCCTTACTCAGCTTCACCGCTAGTTTGTACAACGGACTGTCTTTTTTACAAACTGCAATGATATTTGCGAGTAGTTCGGATCGTTTTACGGACCTCATTTCGCACTCATCTGAGTTTACTTCAACTCGTGGAATATTTACTTCCTTCCCAAAAATAGGATTTTTCGTCTCTGGAGCTTTCCATTCAAGGTGGATAAGTCTCCTTTTTATGGATTCTCGGGATCTATGCCCGAATTCACTGTATACTTTATCGTACAGTTTGGCTTTCATCATGTTCCCATGACGTAACCATATTTTGTTTGCGAGCTCAAGGAGTGAATCATCTTCGACTGTACTCCACGACTTCCCTCCAACCCGTTTCAGTTTCGCTAGCTTCTCACTATTGTATTCAACAGGGTGAGTATGCTTTTTATGCTGCCCAGCCCCGATTTTGGTTTTGAAGCTTCTACCACACAGGTCACAAGGGTAATTCATGTTTCCATCTCCGATTCCAGTGCCTTTTAGGCTCAAGCATTCTGTCAACGCAGCAGGTCTACTATGAGAACCCACCATGCAACACTCTGAATCAACATTCTTTATTTTATCCATGGAAAAAGTAACCTTTGGTTCCCGGATATCCTGCCGGGAGTCAGCATCGTTTATCATATAGTTTGTGCTTGTCATAGTTGGGGGGTTGGAATGCGTAGTAACACCTCACCCACTGCATTCCAAGGCAGGGAGATGTTTTGGTCACATTTTGGTTTTCAAGATAGAACCATACTCATATCTAGGCTGTTTAGAACCATGACATCATATAGCCCCATCCTGCGGCGCAACCACCGGGTGCCTCAATCCCAGTGGACCATTCACACCATTTAATCTCAAGAGGTAAGTTGTTGTATTTGCTACTCTCGTGACGCCGCGACCATTGGCCAACGACTTATACGTTAACATACACATACATATATATATACACATGCATATACATACATACATATATATACATACATATATAAATATACGCACATATACACATATACATACATACACACATATATATACATACACATATACACATATATACATATAAAAGAATGACAAAGCATCCTTGTGTAATCACATATTTTGGTTTTCAAGATAGAACCATACTCATATCTAGGCTGTTTAGAACCATGACATCATATAGCCCCATCCTGCGGCGCAACCACCGGGTGCCTCAATCCCAGTGGACCATTCACACCATTTAATCTCAAGAGGTGTTGTTTTGAAGTGGAACCAGTGATATTTATTTATATTCAAGCGCATTCACAGGTTACCACTTCGGACGGTTGATTAGTTCGCAGGTTGATATCTGCTTAACAGCGGGAACCACGAGAAGGTTAACCGTCCGTAACTTACTCTCAGAAGGCAACCAGATGACGAGGCATTTGGCTAAACCAATATTTTACCGCTACCGCGTACCGAAATTGCTTCCGGGGGGTGCAGGATTTTTGTAACGTGCGTCGACATGGATACAGACAAGAACACAGACGAGTTGCGTACTTGCCCACTCATTTTGGGTGCGCTCTCTTTCCTGGGGTCCACCCTCATTTACACGGGCGAACATCTGCTCTAGCTTTGCACAAAGTGGACATTCCAGCATGCCCCAGGAGTTAGCGAGCCCCACCGCCACCTTCAACCATACCATACATCTTGATTCACCGTTTCGGACTTTACTACTGGCGGCCCTTTGCTTTCCCATACATCGGACCTGCTGGAGTTACCATTATCCTAGCGGCCGGAAACGAAGCCCATATAGCCCCCGGACATCGCCCACCGCCCAATTTTGGCACTGTAGGGCATCCTCCTTCCCACAATGGTAGTGCTTTTTGGTCTACCCCGGGACCCTCGTAATCCCACATAAAGCCAAGGAGGTAACCTGCAACCACGGTGCGACTTCCGAGTCCGTTCCGTTTGCTCAAGACGGTTCTGTTCAATGCATACATACACAGTCGTACCCAGACACTGATACGTACTGCCCTTGCCCTCAGACATGCACAGAACCTTCAACAGACCCATCAAACGCTTTTAGAGCAGGAGCAGTATCTCACATTCATGGACCGTGCCAGTTCCGAGTAAGCCGTCGCGCGCCAGACAATGAAGTACAGCCGCTTGACGCAACGCAGAGCAAGTCCACGCGCGTTGCTAGCCATAAGTCACTAACAGCTGAAACCATCCACGATCTACCCCGGCCAGAGTCCAGTAACCTCGCAACAAAGCGTACCGAAGCACACAGAGTAGCAAAGAAACCAGCCCCCAACTGAGCCGACACGTATCTGATCTCAACCTGTCTGACTCGGCCCCCAGAGCCAATCCTTCTTCCGAAGTTACGGATCCATTTTGTCCACTCCCTTCTTGGGAAGGACATATAGTTTCATGCACCACAGTCACATATATATCATTTTGGTCCGTGCCAGTTCCGAGTATGCCGTCGCGCGCCAGACAATGAAGTACAGCCGCTTGACGCAACGCAGAGCAAGTCCACGCGCGTTGCTAGCCATAAGTCACTAACAGCTGAAACCATCCACGATCTACCCCGGCCAGAGTCCAGTAACCTCGCAACAAAGCGTACCGAAGCACACAGAGTAGCAAAGAAACCAGCCCCCAACTGAGCCGACACGTATCTGATCTCAACCTGTCTGACTCGGCCCCCAGAGCCAATCCTTCTTCCGAAGTTACGGATCCATTTTGTCCACTCCCTTCTTGGGAAGGACATATAGTTTCATGCACCACAGTCACATATATATCATTTTGGTCCGTGCCAGTTCCGAGTATGCCGTCGCGCGCCAGACAATGAAGTACAGCCGCTTGACGCAACGCAGAGCAAGTCCACGCGCGTTGCTAGCCATAAGTCACTAACAGCTGAAACCATCCACGATCTACCCCGGCCAGAGTCCAGTAACCTCGCAACAAAGCGTACCGAAGCACACAGAGTAGCAAAGAAACCAGCCCCCAACTGAGCCGACACGTATCTGATCTCAACCTGTCTGACTCGGCCCCCAGAGCCAATCCTTCTTCCGAAGTTACGGATCCATTTTGTCCACTCCCTTCTTGGGAAGGACATATAGTTTCATGCACCACAGTCACATATATATCATTTTGGTCCGTGCCAGTTCCGAGTATGCCGTCGCGCGCCAGACAATGAAGTACAGCCGCTTGACGCAACGCAGAGCAAGTCCACGCGCGTTGCTAGCCATAAGTCACTAACAGCTGAAACCATCCACGATCTACCCCGGCCAGAGTCCAGTAACCTCGCAACAAAGCGTACCGAAGCACACAGAGTAGCAAAGAAACCAGCCCCCAACTGAGCCGACACGTATCTGATCTCAACCTGTCTGACTCGGCCCCCAGAGCCAATCCTTCTTCCGAAGTTACGGATCCATTTTGTCCACTCCCTTCTTGGGAAGGACATATAGTTTCATGCACCACAGTCACATATATATCATTTTGGTCCGTGCCAGTTCCGAGTATGCCGTCGCGCGCCAGACAATGAAGTACAGCCGCTTGACGCAACGCAGAGCAAGTCCACGCGCGTTGCTAGCCATAAGTCACTAACAGCTGAAACCATCCACGATCTACCCCGGCCAGAGTCCAGTAACCTCGCAACAAAGCGTACCGAAGCACACAGAGTAGCAAAGAAACCAGCCCCCAACTGAGCCGACACGTATCTGATCTCAACCTGTCTGACTCGGCCCCCAGAGCCAATCCTTCTTCCGAAGTTACGGATCCATTTTGTCCACTCCCTTCTTGGGAAGGACATATAGTTTCATGCACCACAGTCACATATATATCATTTTGGTCCGTGCCAGTTCCGAGTATGCCGTCGCGCGCCAGACAATGAAGTACAGCCGCTTGACGCAACGCAGAGCAAGTCCACGCGCGTTGCTAGCCATAAGTCACTAACAGCTGAAACCATCCACGATCTACCCCGGCCAGAGTCCAGTAACCTCGCAACAAAGCGTACCGAAGCACACAGAGTAGCAAAGAAACCAGCCCCCAACTGAGCCGACACGTATCTGATCTCAACCTGTCTGACTCGGCCCCCAGAGCCAATCCTTCTTCCGAAGTTACGGATCCATTTTGTCCACTTCCCTTCTTGGGAAGGACATATAGTTCTATGCACCACAGTCATATATCGTTCATAGGGTAACTTCCCCATTTATTTTTGCTACTACTTTCATTCCAACCCGACGGTGCACACGACACGTGGTCGCATGTCTACGTCATGGGAAGGATGGATTTATTTGCTACTCTCGTGACGCCGTGAACATTGGCCACCAGCTTATACGCGAATATATACATACATATATATATACACATGCATATACATACATACATATATATACATACATATATAAATATACGCACATATACACATATACATACATACACACATATATATACATACACATATATATATATATATAAAAGAATGACAGAGCATCCTTGTGTAATCACATATTTTGGTTTTCAAGATAGAACCATACTCATATCTAGGCTGTTTAGAACCATGACATCATATAGCCCCATCCTGCGGCGCAACCACCGGGTGCCTCAATCCCAGTGGACCATTCACACCATTTAATCTCAAGAGGTAAGTTGATGTATTTGCTACTCTCGTGATGCCGCGACCATTGGCCAACGACTTATACGTTAATATATACATACATATATATATACACATGCATATACATACATACATATATATACATACATAT